TATTCCTTTGTCCTCATCCCGACATTTCGTAATTTTTACTGGTGGGTGATTATCGCATCAAACTGTTCGTTGAATACTGCAGCCGCTTGTTGGAGATTCGAAGACAATTACGGCGGTTGCTTGACTTGCAGGAGACACGAAATGTCCGGTGTAGTTTTCACGAAAAGTGTGGTCGTACTACCATAGGGTGAACAGCTATGTGGAAGCATCCCATCGACGAATTCAAACCCAGTTGGGAATGTCATATCCATCGCTATGGAAGAAGGTTGACAGGCTCCGCAAACTGCAGAAGGTCACTGAATTATATTGCAAACAACCTTCTGCGGGTCATCAAATTGAACAAAAATAGGTATTGGGACGAACGAATAATATCGTTATTGTGAATAACTATCATAATAGATGCACTATTATTTGCTTTCGTGGATTCGTGCACAACGGCGAAATGGCGCAGTGAATTGATTCGTAATATATCGCATAGCAAATTTTGCTACATAGAGTTATGCTATACATCAGTTCGTTGTTCCTACGCGAAGCATTGATAATGATACGTAATAATTACGGTATATTATTGCTGCTGAGTTGTTCAAACCCTCTGAATTGTCTGCACAGTCGGGTCTCAAAGTACAGAAAGTGAAAGTCGCAGTAGACTAGTTCGTAGTGTACAGACATGTGGCCAATTTTTGCGGCAGCGAAAAAGTAGTTGAAGCCGATTACAGAGGAAAAGTAATATTAACACGTTAATTAATTTTCTTGGGCCTTGTAATGGATAGTGCCAATTTCGAATTCGAGAACAATTCCTACCACCAGACTTACAGCGTTCCGATAGGCTCACAGTGAGTATTGTCTTAGCCGATTTTTGTATGGACTATATGGAGGTGAAAACCATTAAGGAATGCCCGCCGGAATTCTGGCCACTGTTCTATGTCCATTTCATTGGTGAAATGAAGACGAATTTAAAAGAATGGAATGATTCGTGAATTACATGAGGAGACAAGGTAAAAATGGCCAAATACGTTTTACTACTAAAGTGGAAGTTAAGTTAAATTTTTAATAGGCTCTGGAGTTCAACTGAATTGCTTACAACAATCTTACCTGCAAAACATCGTGTTGTGATGTCACTGAGTACCAAATGATCATGTTTAAGAGTGGTACCTCACCGAGCTTAATAAAACACTGAGACGCCAGAGAGCATGGCGAAATTGTCCTCAAGTTGCTTGCAGGAAAAACTGTGTTCTGTGGAAAATCAATTAATACTTTTTGTCTTTCAATGAATCACCTTCTGAATGTCAGATACAGTCAACCTCGGACAAGCAGATCTGTAAATATTGCCATAGTCCAGATGGCTCTGACAAACAACAGCGCTTCACCGACAAAAGAATACAAATGACACGTTCGCTGCACTAACACTTTGAGATATTTGGAGCGCCGAAGTTTGCCTGGGTTCGTTGAGAGAAACCAATCAATCGTTCTGTATACAAAACTGAAACCAAAGACTGTCGCTCTTGTTGAGAAATTTCAGAAATGTCAGTTCTATCTAAGGCGCAACGCCTACTATCAGCATATAATGATTGCATGGCCCAGAGCTACAGACCATCGATCCAATACGTTCGAGGGCATGTCCATGGACTTAGACAGTTGCACTGAATCCGGTCACAGGCTTTCTCTAGGCCAACAGACCACATATACGCCGGATTTCTCAACATACTGACGTAGGGCAAATATCTAATGAGATGTGCTTCAACCGGGCTGGAAGTTAAACAGCTCTTGCATTTTGTATTCCGTTATTCCGGAGCACTTCCTTTCTAACGCCTTTGCGAAAACTTTGCTATTGAGATCCAGTAAAGTAGTGTCCCGATAATTGGAGCACTTCCTGCAGCTTTTTTTATTCAACAGCGATGCTGCAACTCCCGTTCTATGGCCGCCGGTGTCATCCCTGTATTCGTGGAGGTTATATAGACACGTGCAGTCTAGCACATGCCATGTTCCCATAGTTCATTAAGCATTGCAAAGCGCATTTCTTCGGCAGATACACTAACATTCCTTCTTTGCTACTCTTCAGGCGAGATTTTATTAACCAGGCTCCTCGGTTTCCTTCCGTTTCTTACCAATTTTTACAGTTAACCTTGCTCCTCCTGAGCGGTTTATCCGGTATGCTCTTGTTTTTGCATGATACAGTTCTTGCACGGAAGACATCATTGGAGACTTACATAGGACACTGCCGAGCTTGTTTGCGGATCTGTAGATTTTGGTTTCACCGCACCCGGACATGTAGCCATTAAGTCATTCACTAAGTTCCTTTCTATACGGGATAACTAGTAAGCGGTGGCTTCGGAGGTTTTCTCTACTTTTTATCTGTTCTTTTAAGCTTCAGGTTATTCTCAGTTTTCAGTCAGTCATTTAAAACTGTTCGTGAATAGCATTCGCTTGGCACTTCTTTCGAAATATTCGCAGTTTTTTTTAACAGTGTTTATGTTTATCGAATTTGCATCCGAAAATTCACTCCTGCATGATTTATTAGGTAAAATGTATTTTGACATATATATTTTCTCAGTTTATTCAAGGTTTTTATTGTTTTTAGTAATATGGTTGCTTGAAAGCAATAATTTGAAAATTTATTTGCAAATGACCACAATAACGAAGTTTTCGAAGTCTATATTTTATCACGCGTAGTGCAAGGTCACCTGTACAGTATAAAGTAGATGATTAACAGGGGAGAAAAGAAAATGCTATAAGACCACTGTGTCATTTACATGTTTATGGAGTCGTTGTTCCAAAGTAGTGATTATGGCCGCCAGCCAGTTATCTAATGCTGATATTGCAGACGCGCTTAAACGTGCAAGAGAAGTAAGCTGTTAATTGAAGTTTGTTTGTAACCACTAATGGGTAAGTTAATTTTAGATCATTTTAAGCGTTTTTTTTTCGTTTAGAACTTTTTATTCGTCTTTCCTATGAGTTATGTTAAGGTAAAATTGGCAGTTTCCAACTCTTTCAATCTTTATTGTTAGCTGAGAGTTCAGTTATTTGTTATTGAAGCATGGTTTTGTCGCACTGGCGCGTTTGACTTCTCATGTTTGTGCGGTTTTAGTTAGCTGCTGGAACTAGGACTGAAGAACCTACGAAGAGAGTGCA